TGGCTGTCTGCAAGGATGCTGTCCAGGGGACGCCCGGATGATTTGATGTTTTATCATCCTTATGGGAGGCTTCTCTCATGTCCCCGCATGAGGAGCTGGAGCTGATAGAGGGAGCTCATCCACCTCTTCCCGGATTCGAATCTGTGACCTGTCGGTCTTCAGCCCTGCCAGGGATTTAACCCACTGCACTACCGGGGGCTCCGGTTTTAATTGTAATTGTTTATTTATAATATATGTGTGTATGGCATTGAATTGCTGCCTGTTGTAAGGCTGCCTTCAGTCCCCTCTCTAGGGTGAGAAGAGTGAGAAGAGTAATATTATGGGAAACAAAGAAATAAATACCTGTAGTTCCAAGCATCTGGATAAGGAAAATCCAACCTGTATAACAGGGCTTGCAAATTCCAATTTCTTCCCTCCAGCCTTTTGTGAGGTAGTAATTTTTTGCTATTCAATGTAAAAGTTATTTATCTATTTATTTATTTATTTATTTTATTAATCAATTTTATATACCGCCACTCCCTGAAGGCTCGGAGTGGTTTACAATATACATATGTGATACATTACATTTAAAATCAAAGAAAAATTTCAATCAGCAAGATTCAAATGCCAGCCTAAATAAATAAGTTTTACAAGCTCTATGAAAAGATAGTAAGTTAGTAGTTAATATCAAACTTTAATCCTATTGGTGAATCCCAACTCCAGCAGACTCATTGAATGTGTTGTTGAATGTTAAAATCTGGCAAAATTACATGGATTGAGTAGTTCTTAGTTCGAATCCAGGGAGCAGGGTGAGCTCCCACTGTTAGCCCCAGCTACTGCCAACTGAGCAGTTTGAAAACATGCAAATGTGTGTAGATCAATAGGTACCGCTTCAGTGGGAAGTTAATGGTGCTTCATGCAGTCATGCTGGCCACATGACCTTGGAGGTGTCTACAGACAACGCTGGCTCTTTAGCCTAGAACTGGAGATGAGTACCACCTCCCAGAGTCGGACTCAACTAGACTTAATGTCAAGGGGAAACCTTTACCTTTACTTAATAGTTCTATTTTCTTTGGAATTAATGATAGCATTCAGGCCATAGGTATTTACTCTGTGACCATGATTATTGTGAAATATTACGGGTAACATCTCCTGAGATTCTGAAGAACTTGATTATATTGTATGAAATGCTATACCTTTGGTGAAAGATATATTGTTGTAATATGCAAACATTTTGTTTGCCCTACATGTTCAAGTGTCTCGTTCAACAGGTCCAACTTGTACATTGTGCAGGCTGTCTTTCTGAAAGGCTTTAAAATATTTATATTTTTTTAATCCTTTTGTTGCAAAAGTAAATCTTCTGTGGAAATTGATCTACTGTTGTAAAACCTAAAAACAGACAAAGGTGTTTTCAAAGACTGTAGTCATGCTCCTTTAAGATGAGATTGCATTTGTCACCCTTTGGGAGTTGAAATAATAGAATGGGGAGGAGAATTAGCTGTGAACCAAAGGAGACCCAGATCAAATCAACCATGGCATTGGCAGGGCTGCCTATAGTTCACTGGGTGGCCCCAGTGAGGCTCTTCTGTATCCCAATACCAAAATAAAACTGAAAAAGTGCCCCTGTGCCCTCTAAAAACTGAAGGCAATTTTTCCAACACCCCCCCCCCCCAGCTGTTTAAGGTTAGAGGAGTCCCCATCCAAAGATATAACTTATAATTATGGTACGTCCAGTTTTTGAAAAAAAGATCCCTTTTGACAACATCAAGGAGAAACCTGATGAAATTGCTGGTACTGTTTCATTATTCAGGTGGAGGCCAGAAGGGGGAGCTAGACAGAGAAAGATAGTCCATTTTATGCGGAGGGGGAGTTGAAGGAGGAAAACTATTTCCCCCTTTTTTGCTGGTTATTCCCCCTCCTCATTTCATAAACGAGGGTTGTTTCCATCATGGCAACATGGGTGGGGGGAATAACAGGAAAACAGGGGTAAATGGTTTTACCCCTTCAACCCACCCTAAAAATGGACTATCCTTCTCTGTCTAGTCCCCCTTTTGGCCTCTCCCGAATAATGGAACAGTACCAAATTGTCAAAGGCTTTCATGGCCGGAATCACTGGGTTGTTGTAGGTTTTTCGGGCTGTATGGCCATGTTCTAGAAGCATTCTTTCCTGATGTTTTGCCTGCATCTATGGCAGGCATCCTCAGAGGTTGTGAGGTTTGGTGGAAACTAGGAAAATTGGGTTTGTATATTTGTGGAAAGTCCAGGGTGAGAGAAAGAATTCTTGTCTATTGGAGCTAGGTGTGAATGTTTCAATTGGCCACCTTGATTAGCATTTGATGGCCTGACAGTTTTTAGGTGTGCCTTGCTCCTGCCTAGGGGGATTCTTTGTTGAGAGGTGATTAGCTGTTTCTGATTGTTTCTTCTCTGGAGTTCCCTTGTGTTTGAGTTTTGTTCTTTACTGTTATAATTTTAGTTTTTTAATATTGTTAGCCAGATTTTGTTCATTTTCATGGTTTCTTCCTTTCTATTGAAATTGTCCACATGATTGTGAATTTCAGTGGCTTCTCTGTGTAGCCTGACATGGAAGTTGTTAGAGTTGTTAGAGTTGTTGATCAGGCGCCCTCCTATGGCTGACTTCTCTGGTTGAAGTAGTCTGCAGTGACTTTCATATTCCTTGATTCGTGTTCGGGCCAGAGAAGTCAGCCATAGCAGAGCACCTGATGAACCAACCTGGTCATAGCATATTATTTGAGAACACAGTAATGCTGGGACTCTCTAACAACTACCAGGACAAGGCCAACTGAAAGCCATGTTTGAGATTACAGGTGTAGTGCTCATCTGCAATGAAGAACTTCTTGAGAGAGGGGGCTTTCTTATGAGTACATGGTCTCCTTGATGGAAGGCTCTTTACCAGCTGGTGATTAACTGCCAAAATGTTTGCAGCTAAACTCTGAGCAGATCTACAGAAGTTCAATGCAAGCCCCAACCTTAGAACATCAAGTTGAGTTTGACCTATGGCAATTCCATGAATGAGAGTCCTTCAAACCACCCTATCATCAGCAGCCCTGTGCAGGTCTTGCAGACTCAGGTCTCTGACTTCCTTGATTGAGTGTCCCTATCTGTAATGTGGTCTTTCTTCTTTCTACCACCTTCTACATTATGAAGCATTGTTTTTTCTAGATAATGATGACTTAAGTACAACAGTCTAAGTTTAGTCATTTTGGCTTCTAGGCAGCCTTCAGGTTTGATTTGTTCTATGTCCCATTTGTTTGTCTTCTGCTGTAAACATTGTTTTTCCAGAGTTCCAGGTACCATCAGTCATGTTTGGTTTCCTTACAAACCGTGCCCTTGTTGTGACTGCTTTTCTGCTACTTGGGCCTCACACAGCATTTGGTTTCCGTCACAGAACACTTCCTACTTATTATCTGCTTTAGTCTCCATGTGCTTTGCTATCACACTGTGTGATTTTGCTTTGGGGGTATTGTTATGGGGAGTGACAAAATGAGGCCACCCTCCCACTGCCCAAAATCTCTCTGCCACTTGAGAATTACATTTTTCCTTCAATCTCCAAATGTCTAGCATGGCAGAGAGTGAGACACTGAAAATGACTCACGCAGAGAACTCTTGGACCTGCTGTGCTGTTGTCCCCTTGGTATTTTTGCCCGCCCTTTCTATTTGGATGCCTAGGACTGTATTTCTAAATGCTCAAACTCTGACAAAGCACTGCCTTATCCCTTAACTCTGACTGTAGATTCTCTGTCGCTGGCTGATTGATTACTGGTGTAGCACTTGTTTGGTATTTGACCTTGATCTAGATATCTTATTGCTGCATCCTTCTCATCCAGTAGTACAGCTGCAGCAGTCTGCCTTACAGATTCTATAATGTAGAGCTTGTTGTAAGGTTTCTTGTGCTATGTGAAATAATTTGCATATTTTGAAAAATGTTACATAAGTGCTGAGTCTTGTTAGTTCTTGGATATTCCATGGTGAAGATGGCTCTATCTATTAAGCAGAGTGGGACCATTGCTTCAGGCAGGAGATGCTGTTGGGGCAGCAGTCTTGCTGTTCCCTCTGTTGGAGATGCATATCTCACACAATCTTTCTTGGCTCCCTAAACTTCCCTCAAGATGCCCTGGAGAAAGCTAAACTAGCCTATTTCAAGTGTTCAAGTAACCTTTTCCATCTCTTCTGCACAAACTCATCAGCAAGTGGTTCAAGTAACATTAAACCACTTGCCTACTTATTTTGTGCACACAATATGAAAAAGGTTGGGCTTTTATCATAGAATCATAGAGTTGGAAGAGACCTCATGGGCCATCTAGTCCAACCCCCTGCCAAGAAGTAGGGGAACTGCATTCAAAGCACTCCTGACAGATGGCCATGCAGCCTCTGTTTAAAAGCCTCCAAAGAAGGAGCCTCCGCCACACTCTGGAGTTCCACTGCTACAGCTCTCGCACTTAGGAAGTTCTTGCTAATGTTCAAGTGGAATCTCCTTTCCTGTAGTCTGAAGCCATTGTTCCGCATCCTAGTCTCCAGGGCAGCAGAAAACAAGCCTGCTCCCTCCTCCCGATGACTTCTTCTCACATATTTATATATCTTTTGTTTCAAGCAGTAAAATACCCAAGATTGACCATGATACATTAGTTTCCTAGCAGACAATACTGTAGGTTCCAGGTTTTTTGGGTGTAACAAGGGTTGTATTCTCTTAAAGGTCCAAAATGCAGTAATTCCAAACCCTATGCACAAGTAAATTCATATTATTGTTTCTTGACAGAAAAAGATATTTATTACATCTGGGCAGGGTATACTTAACTATATAGGTTGTTTTGATACTCTCAGCAACAGCTTACATTTGGACCAATGATACATTTGGGCTTCTCCACTATCCCAGTAACACAGTTAAGACAACGGGGAGAAACTTTCATGTAATGAAAAAAAAATGCACAATTCAGCTTTCAACCATTCCTAAGAAGTTGACATCTACAAAGGCAGCTACAATGAAGCAGTCTGTTTTATTCATATTATTCATATTTTAATGGACATCTTAATGATGTACATTTCCATGCTTTCATATTTTATGGAGTTGTGGTCAGGCAACGAGGAAGAAGTAAAAGGACATAGATCAACATCATAGTACAAATTCAACCCCTTTTAAATGTGTACACAGTTCAATTTACTTTTTAAAACTTTCATTAAAATCATAGCTGCCAGAAACTTGAAAGTCCCACACACACACACAAATATATATATATATGAACATACACACATACCTGTATTATCAAATTTATGCTGCTGCAATTATTCTATGGAAGAAGTTGGAAAATATTTTAACTGATCACTCATAATTATTTTCTGTTGTCCATATGGAGAAGAGTTCTATGTCCACTTTGACAACTTTTATGGAGTTCCCGTGTGCAGATGGATATTCTATGCATTTCAAAACCCTGCTCACACAAAAAATCATCTCTCTAGCGTAGTGGTTCCCAAACTGGTTCTGCAGAACCCTAGCTTCCTGCAAAAATATCACAGGGATTACACACAAAAAAATCTTTAATTTAAAAATACTTTTTAAAAAGTCAATGCCAAAGTATGAAGATATTATTGAAATTCTGCTTTAAAAAACAAAATTTGAATCCTTTTATTTTCAAACCTGCTACATTGTACAAAATATCAGATAATAGGAGAAGGCGAAAAAAGGATTTGTGGATTCACAATGTTTAACTACAGAGTTAGGGTTCCATGACTGAAGAAATTTGGGAACTGCTGCTCTAAAGACTAAGCCCCCAATACAGCAAATGCAATAGTCTCTGAAGACTGGGGCATCAAAGTCTTCCAGGACCATGTTCTAAATATTATACGGTATCTTGTTTTTAAAGTACATAGATGAAGCTTCTCTGTGCTCTGAATCCCATGAATTGGATTGACTGTTTCTCCAAAACTGTGTCCTCTCCCTCTAAAGATCTATCAGAACCTGACGATCCTTTGGAAGCACTAGCTTCTAAAGCAGCTGTAGAGTTCAAGTATTGCACTTTGATATATTTTAAAATTATTACTTCAAATAATTTTAAATGTTTTGGATTATGCCAAGGGTAAGAAGGGTGGATGGATGGATGGATGGATGGATGGATGGATGGATGGATGGAGCAACTGTGCTAAGAAGAGGATTCACTCTTGCCCACAAACCACTACTGGATGCCATGCATTAAGGATGGGCAACGGCATGGGTTCTGGAGCCAATGTTCCCCAACCTTTGCTCCTCCCAGTAAGACCTAGTACTGTACCTGTTTTCTTCTGCAGTCCCTATCAAAAATTACATTGTATCACCACTTTGAAGAGACTGTAGAGAAAGATGGAAAGATTGTAGTACTGGATTCTGAGATGCTTGTGGGGGCAGAGACATGGTGAAAGTTTTGCATGTTCTCATTCATTTGGGAGGGAGGATTCTATATGGTTTGGGAGAAAATACTGCCCTAAAATTATACTGCAAAAACAGTAGATGGGAGACTTTGACAGAGAAGTGAAGGGGTTTCAGGGACTAGAGAAATTGGATCCTGGGACATGGGTCAAGGTTTGGTCAAGTTTTGATGTGACATACGTAAACCATGATGTTCCTTGCTCTATTGCTGTGCAAAATCAAGGTTAATGCTTACCTTTGCTGAGGGCAGTGTTTTCTGGATATTCCTTTATAGTCCTACGATATTCAACACCCAACACAAACCAAACAAGCAAACAGAAATCCTTGTAAGCCCTCAGAGGTCCTGGAGAAAATTGTCAAGCTGAATAGGAAGATCTTTGATTTTGCATAAGTAAAGCTTGCTGGCTCGGTGCTAAACCCACTAAGCTTTTGAAGGAAAAACAAAAGAACAAAACAAGAATTATAAATGAGCAAGAGGGATGAATTAATTTTACCTGCTCATTCCAACACCACAAAGCAACACCACTTCAGAAGCAAATTACAGCATGACTCTGTAATCTCATAAGAGGATAACATATTAGAAAACAAACAACCTTCTTACGGAAGAGCAACAGAAGACTTCTTGCTAAAAATAAAGCATATTGTGCTGGTAAAAGATAAAATATGATGAAGCATGGGCAGTGAGACCTCTAGGAACATGGGGCATAAGACATTTTTCAGTGAGGAAGACGTACTCTTTCTAGCAGCAATGAACAGTAAACAAGGGTCAAGCTCACAATGTAACTAGAGTGTGTCTTCATGTGTTTTCTTCATTAGCAGAGACTGTCTTCCCTTCTGGACATGGCAAGTTCAATTATTTCACATTGCAGCAACTTTCCCCCATATTTCATTCTCTAAACCTTTCTCTCCCCCCTCCTTCCAATTATATGGCTGACATAAATGGCTTCATCATTATGTCTCGCCATTACAGCTCTATCAAGCAGATCTGCAAAATGTCTATCATCCTTCAAGCAAAATAAATATCCAAGTATCTCAAGAAGTAGATGTACTAAAAATTGCTTTGGAGACCTTCATTAAAACTGAACTTTCATCTATATATGACTATAAATATATGCATATGAAAAGCTTGTATTTCAACATAAGAACAGCACCATTAAGTGAGAAACAATCATAATGATTCCATAAGTATGAGGTCTTAAGGATCTGTTCACATGCACTAAAATCATGACATGACTATGAGAGAAGAACTGAAGACTAACACAGTCTTTCATTACTAGTGCATCTTGATTTCAACACATTGGGAGAACAGTGGAAAATTAGAACTTTCCATTTTGGAAATGCTGGCTGCAAAATCTTTTGCCAAAAATAAATAAATGTTATTCACCTGGACGTATTATTTACTCAAACTAGCTATTTCATTTCAGATTTTAAAAATGAATAAATAATAAATAGCATAAAAACAGTATAGTGTAGTAGTTTGAATGTCAGAGCAGAACTCAAGAGACTAGGATTTGAATCCTCACTGAGCTGTGGAAACCCATGGGGTGACATTTGTAAAGACACACTCCTCAGCCTAAAAGGTAGGCAACTGACAAACCTCACCTGAATAAACACCCCCCCCCCCAAAAAAAACCCCCTATGATAGAGTAGTTATAAGTTAGAGTCAACTTCAAGGCACATAACAACAAAAATAGTATGAACTACATGAGGTAAGCTCCAAATATTTTTTTTTATGTAGCTACCAAAGGAATCTTAGGAAGACAAACATGTTATCTTCCTTTTCCTTGCAGTGAGCACAAGAGGATGGATCACACAACTTTCTGTATTATGTTCACTAGAATGGAAAGGGCTGTGAGCTGTACATGGCTCTTTATGGACCCATCTACAATGTAGAACTAATGCAGTTGGATATCACTTAAACTGCCTAGACTCAATGCTATGGAATCATGGGAGTCGTAGTTGTACAAGGTCTTTAGCCAAAGAGTACTTGTGCCTGACCAAACTACAAATCCCAGGATTCCATAGCACTAAGGCATGGCAATTAGTGGTGTCAAACTGCAGCAGTTTTACACAGTAGATGTACCCTATGAAGGTTTGCCTCACTGTAGGCCAACCATTCTACTCTTGTCCGCTTCACAGGAAAGGTTTCTAGGGCCCACTTTGACAAACCCCGTCACAACATCATTTAAATTGTGTCTGCTTCACACCATTTGCTTTATGCTTCTTGTCCACTGATGCTTTTTTAGAAGGAAGATAACTGTTAACATTTCCATTCTTCTTAGAATTTGAAGGTGCATGGGCTGCTTGCCCCTTGAGAGGAACTGTTGGGCTATGGAAGGAGGGGGGTGTCTTGAGTGGCCTCATATTGCCAGCTCCTTGGATCATAGAGCTTGTATCAGAAGGATGTCTAGTAAGATGCTGCTGTTTGGTAGTCGGCCGCTTTTTTGCTTCACTCTTCACTTCACTAGATCGCCGCTGGTGAGCTAATGAGCTAGATGTTGCTCCTCTTGAGTGACTCTCATAGGGAACAAACTGGCTGGTTCTTTCCCCATGCAGGTCTCTTCTGGGAGCCGAATGGCTGATGGGGAGTCTAGAAAAGCTTTCATGGGGAATCAATTGTTTGTTCGGCGAAGGACTATGCAATGATTTGATTTTGCCAGGACTTTTTAAGGTTCGAAGGATACCAGGAGCAGTCTGTGGTCTACTTTTGCCTGCCTTTCCTTGCTCAGCTTGTACTGTTTGTATCTGCAGCCATTCCAACTCCAAAAGCCGATCGATGTACTTGTCCAAAAATCCCACAGCTGGGATTTTTGGCTCGGATTTACATTCTGTGTTGACAAACACTGCGAGCTCTTTCAAATCCCAGGTGTTGTATGGGGGTGGGAGGAAGTCGGGGTAATAATAATCTGGCCGTTTAGATTTGGCATCAAAGAGGTGTTCAAAATGAAGTGGATCAATTTCTTCAGCTCGGAGATTGAGCTCCGGTGGCGTACAAGGCGAGGGAGGAACGGGAATTCTCTCCGAGTCAGAAAGGTCACTGGCGCTGTCCTCATCGGAGTCCTCTTTCATAATTTGCACAGATCCGAAGTCAAGAAACATGGCATCAGCAGAGGCACCTGGACGTACAGGGCTGCAAGGGTCTGGTTCATCTGGAAGCCCTCCAGAGAGCTGCCCAAAATGACCTTTGTCTTTGCAATAAAAACTCGGAATCAGCATATCTTCAGCTTTGCTGGAATCACTTGAGGATTTGTCCTTAAATGGAGAAGGGATTTTACTCTCTCTGGCTTCATAATGTTTTCGAACCACAGCATCTTTTTTTATACATGGTGCTCTGTATGAGGCAGTGCAATCATCTCTTGTTCTAGGCAGAATTAAAAAAAAATATTTATTTCAACCACAAATAATTATAAATGCTTTATTACAAAATGGGGCTATGGTCAGGAAAGGCAACATATTTATTTATTTCCCATATTTGTACCCTACCCTTCTCAACCACGAGAGGGACTCAGAGCGGCCTCACATATTGGCAACAATTCAATGCCTTAAAATAACATACAATTGGTAAACATCTACATTAAAAACCAGAGAAAATTTTTTTTCGTGTCAAGGGAGACTTGAGAAACTCCAAGTTGCTTCTGGTGTGAGAGAACTGGCTGTCTGCAAGGACGTTGCCCAGGGGACACTCAGATGTTTTGCCATCCTGTGGGAGGATTCTTTCCTGTCCCTGTATGAGAAGCTGGAGCTAACAGATGGGAGCTCACCCCACTCCCCGGATTCGAATTGTTGACCTTTTGGTCAGCAGTTCAGCCAGCACAAGGATTTAACCCATTGCACTGCTGGGGGCTCCTTACCAGAGAATTAAAACATCTAAAAACAATTACATCAATTATTAAAATCACATAATCCAAAGTCATAATTCATAACAACCACCAAGGAATATATAAATATGGTGACGATTTGAACATCAAACAATATTTTGATGATATCTTATATCAAGTCACCTTAATTACGCAGAATGCCTGCATAACATCATTATTGCATTTTCACCCAGTTTCAACTAGAAATCTGAAATACATTTCTTGGGGAAAAAAATCCGTAAACTCTCACACAGCAGCATAAAAACCAGACAGGAAATTATATTTGGAAGCTTTATACAGGAGGCCACATAACACAAAATGAGAACTTTCTTCAATTATATCTTAGCTATTCCTGTGCATCAACCATCTAATGCAAGTGAGGGCACCACTTGGTAGCAAAACCTCATAAATGTTTTCATTGAAGCCGGATATTAGCTGGATAAAACGGCACCTTCTGAGCACAAGAGTATTCTGAAGTATTACCATATCTGGCAGGGGATCTTTTGCCAAAAAAAAAAAAAAATCTAATATGAACAGCACAATCTCATACTTACCAACTTAAAAGAATGTCACATGGAATGCGCTGGGGTTTGCTACCAAGTAAATTGCTTTAGAATTGTAGCCTTTGACTGAGCGCTTATTTAAGTATGCTCAAGATTTCTAGCATGCTCAAGACCTCTATGGAGAGCTCCTAGTTTTATAGCTTTGCTCTGTTATTGCAGAAACTGAGTGTTCCATGGATAAAACCATTGAACTCAAGTGGTTCTTCCAAGCAGATATGTATAGGATTACAATCAATTACAAGGCCTAATAAAGCTTTCTTTTTTTAAAAAAAAAAAATCTTCAACAGCCTGGAAGGAAAGTCAAGAGAAGCCGCTGCTTGAGCTGTGGAGCTACAGGTTTTCCACTATTCCCTCCCAACACAGGTTTAAATTTGGACAGTGCAATTCTGTTTTCATTTTTTTCTAAGCCAACCTTAAAATATCCTAACTTTACTGAACTTATTGACTGAAAGGTCGGCGGTTCAGATCCGGGGAGTGGGGGGAGCTCCCACTGTTAGCCCTAGCTTCTGCCAACCTAGCAGTTTGAAAACATGCAAATGTGAGTAGATCAATAGGTACTGCTCCAGTGGGAAGGTAACAGAGCTCCATGCAGTCATGCCGGCCACATGACCTTGGAGGCATCTATGGACAATGCTGGCTCTTACGCTTAGAAATGGAAATGAGCACCAACCCTCAGAGTTTTTTTTTAATCGTGTTAGGAGCGACTTGAGAAACTGCAAGTTGCTTCTGTTATGAGAGAATTGGCCGTCTGCAAGGATGTTGCCCAGGGGGTGCCTGGATGATTTCATGTTTTTATCATCCTTGTGGGAGGCTTCTCTCATGTCCCTGCATGAGGAGCTGGAGCTGATAGAGGGAGCTCATCCGCCTCTACCCAGATTCGAACCTGTAACCTGTCGATCTTCAGTCCTGCCGGCACAGGGGTTTAACCCACTGTGCCACTGGGGGCTGTACCCTCAGAGTTGGACAGACTAGACCTAATGTCAAGGGGAAACTTTACCTTTACTATGGGGATTTTGGAGAATGGCAACCACAAAACCTGCTCATGTGGCAAAAGAAAAAGTTAAAGTTATTCAAGTTAACCAAGGTAATTGTTTCCTGAGTACTTAGCTCAACAAATTTTCACCCATTCGAGTATAACCAGATGACAGTATATCAACAATTTGTTAATTGTGCTGTTGATTGCCTATGCTAGAGAGAGGGAATGGAGTAGGCCAGCGGGATTTGAGTATTATAAAGTGGTAGATAGAAACGGATGGAGGACAGGACTATGGCATTCTGTAGCCACAACATGTCAAACAGTCAGTAATGCATTGGTTGTTGATACTCTGGCTGTTCATTGCGTCATGGAGGAGGGAGGGGGTTCCGTTAACCGGGGAGCCCCCATAGAAGTCGTGGTGGGGAGGGGGAGATACGGGAAAGGGAGACCTTTAATTCGACCTAGGGAACGGGGAACAACTTTAGTAATCCCAAATCGGTCTCCTGATATGGTAAGTCGGTGTAACCAGGATGGCGGTCCCTCCGAATTGAAAGTGGTGCTGTTGAACGCCAGATCTGTCAACGGTAAAACAACTTTCATCCAGGATTTAATCCTGGATGAACGGGCAGATCTGGCGTGCATCACAGAGACCTGGTTGGACGAAGCGGGAGGTGTAAATTTAACCCCGCTTTGCCCACCAGGTTTCTCTGTGCAGCACCAACCGAGATCCGGAGGGCGGGGAGGCGGAGTTGCAGTGGTCTATAGAGATTCCATTCTTCTGACCAGGGCCCCCATCCCGCAGTCAACAAATTTTGAATGCGTCCACCTGAGGGTGGGTGACCGGGACAGATTAGGGATTCTGTTAGTGTACCGGCCACCTCGCTGCACTACAGACTCCCTGACTGAGCTAGCGGGGGTGGTCTCGGACCTGGTGTTGGAGTCCCAACGGCTGCTTGTGCTGGGGGACTTCAACATCCACGCCGAGTCCGCCTCATCGGGAGCGGCTCAGGACTTCATGTCTACCATGGCAACCATGGGGCTGTCCCAACAAGTATCTGGCCCCACCCACAGTGCTGGACATACATTGGACTTGGTTTTCTGTCAGGGATGGGAGGAAGGTGGCGGTGTTGAGGAGTTATCCATCTCTCCGTTGCCATGGACCGACCACCACCTGGTCAGCTTTAGACTCACTGCACCCCCTAACCTCCGCAGAGGTGGAGGACCTATTAAATTGGTCCGCCCCAGGAGGCTTATGGATCCGGATGGATTCCTGACGGCTCTTGGGGAATTTCCCGCCACCGCGGTTGGTGATCCTGTTGATGCTCTGGTCGCTCTCTGGAATGGGGAGATGACTAGGGCAATAGACACGATCGCTCCAGAACGTCCCCTCTCAAGTAGCCGAGCTAAACCAGCTCCTTGGTTCACCGAGGAGCTGGCAGCGTTGAAGCGAAAGAAGAGGGAACTAGAGAGCGTGTGGCGTTCGGATCCGAGCGAGCCAAACCGAACACGGTTTGTGTCCTTCTTAAGGGCATATGCCGCGGCAATAAAGGCCGCAAAGAAAACTTTCTTTGCGGCCACTATTGCGTCTGCGAAGAACCGTCCGGCTGAACTGTTCCGAGTTGTCAGAGGCCTATTAAAACCCGCCACTCAGGATGGGTGCCCTGATGACTCGGCAGCTCGCTGCGAAGCTTTTGCTCGGTTCTTCGCAGACAAAGTCGCTTTGATCCGCTCTGGACTGGATACCATATTAACGGCAGTATCTGAGGATGTAACTCGAGCATCTGCTTGTCCGGTTTTGATGGATTCATTTCAATTGGTTCAATCCGAGGATGTGGACAAGGTGCTTGGAGGAATGAGAGCTACCACATGCATCCTAGACCCCTGCCCATCCTGGCTTCTAAAGGAGGCCAGAGGGGGTTTGGCTGAGTGGGTGAAGGTGGTGGTTAATGCCTCCCTCCGGGAAGGCAAAATTCCAGCCAGCTTAAAGCAAGCTGTAATAAAACCGCTGTTGAAGAAACCATCACTGGACCCCACTCAATTCGTCAACTATCGGCCTGTTTCCAATCTCCCCTTTTTGGGCAAAGTCCTGGAACGTGTGGTGGCCTCACAACTCCAGGCATTCTTGGTAGACACTGATTATCTGGATCCGGCACAGTCTGGCTTTAGGCCGGGGCATGGTACCGAGACAGCCTTGGTCGCCTTAGTGGATGATCTGCGTCGGGAGCTCGACAGGGGGAGTGTGTCCCTGTTGGTGCTGCTCGACCTCTCAGCGGCCTTCGATACCGTCGACCACGGTATCCTTCTGGGACGCCTCGCGGAGATGGGTCTTGGAGGTACTGTCTTGCAGTGGCTCCGCTCATTCCTCGAGGGTCGGTCCCAGATGGTGTTATTGGGAGACTCCTGTTCAACCCCACAACCTTTGTCTTGTGGGGTTCCTCAGGGTTCAATACTGTCCCATGTTGTTTAACATCTACATGAAGCCGCTGGGCGAGATCATCCGGAGTTTGGGAGTGCGATGTCATTTGTACGCAGATGATGTCCAACTCTGTCACTCCTTTTCCACCTGCTACTAAGGAGGCTGTCGAGGTCCTGAACCGGTGCTTGGCCGCTGTGACGGTCTGGATGGGGGCGAACAAATTGAAATTGAATCCAGACAAGACAGAGGTACTCCTGGTTAGTCGTAAGGCCGAACAGGGTATGGGGTTACAGCCTGTGTTAGACGGGGTCGCACTCCCCCTGAAGACGCAGGTTCGCAGTTTGGGGGTGATCCTGGACTCATCGCTGAGCCTGGAACCCCAGGTTTCGGCGGTGACCAGGGGAGCATTCGCACAGTTAAAACTTGTGCGCCAACTGCGACCGTACCTTGGGAAGTCTGACTTAGCCACGGTAGTCCACGCTCTGGTTACATCCCGCCTTGATTACTGCAACGCTCTCTACGTGGGGTTGCCTTTGAAGACAGTCCGGAAGCTCCAACTAGTCCAACGGGCAGCAGCCATGATTCTAACAGGAGCAGGGCGCAGGGAGCATACAACTCCTCTGCTGAACCAGCTCCACTGGCTGCCGATATGCTACCGGGCTCAATTCAAAGTGCTGGCGTTGGCCTTTAAAGCCCTAAACGGTTCTGGCCCAACTTATCTATCCGAACGTATCTCAGCCTATCAGCCCACCAGGACCCTAAGATCTTCCGGAGAGTCCCTTCTCTCTATCCCTCCAGCTTCAGAAGTGCGGCTGGCGGGAACGAGAGACAGGGCCTTCTCTGTGGTGGCCCCCCGGCTTTGGAACACCCTCCCTATAGAGCAGTGGTTCTCAACCTGGGGTCCCCAGATGTTTATGGCCTTCAACTCCCAGAAATCCTAACAGCTGGTCAACTGGCTGGGATTTCTGGGAGTTGTAGGCCAAAAACATCTGGGGACCCCAGGTTGAGAACCACCTCTATAGAGGTACGATCAGCCTCTTCGCTAATGGTGTTCAGGAAGAGACTGAAAACATGGTTGTTCAAACAAGCATTCGGCTAATCTGTGGCAATCGAATCTTGATGATTAAGGACAGGAAAATATGGACAACGAATTCTGGATTATGATTTTAATTCAAGATATATGGGATTATTATTGGTGGCCCAATAATTTGAATTGTATGTGTATATGTTTTTAGATTGGAGATTGTTTTAATTGTTGTAAACCGCAATGAGTCGCCGATCCAGGCTGAGATATTAGCGGTATACAAGTGTATTAAAAAAAAAAAACAATACTTCTAATTGTTAAGCCACTATATAAACAATGTGGTGAATGAATTTCTATCTTGATCTGAAATTAAAGGGTAGTGTTTCTATTTTCGGGGTGGGAGGGATTAAAAACAAAATAGATGTACATCCCTTAGTCTTTCTGGACAAATGCCATGATTAAATCATTGCTATTCAATGCCTTTCAGCTGAGTGCTATTCTTTTTCCGACTTTCTCGCTCCCTTTCTGCAGATATGTTCCAGAAAGCTTCCTCATTTTAAGATCCATGTGTAATTAGCATATATAGTGAAAGGAATTCAGAAAGCATCTGGCAAGTTTTCACTATGTAATGAAATAAAACACATTCTCTAATGTAAACAGAGGCAGTAAAAGTGGCATGGTGGTATTGAAATATAAATGAAATCTGCTGCTGTTGCCATTTAACATCAGTGCTGATGTAGCATCATTCTCCAATCCAAAACATGTTATTACAAACAAACAGTTATCAATTTATTTTATTCATTTATATCCCACCTTTCTTCTAATAAAGACACTCAAGATAGCTCAGAATATATTTAAAAACAATGCAAATGGAAACCTATACAAAGTCATTAAAACAAATATAGAGTCATTGAATCACAGAGTTGGAAGGGTCCAACTCCAATGCAGGATCTCCAGCAAGATCACCCAGAGCAGGTAGCTTTCCAACTTCTTTTTGAAGACATTCAGAGAGAAAAATCCCACCACCTCTCTAGGGAATTGCTTCCATTTCCAAACCACTTTTACTATCAGAAGATTTTGTAATGATCCATCAAATCTATCCTTCTGTAACTTCAAATCATTAGGCCTGATCCTGCCCTCTGGGGCAACAGAATACTGGATTGTGCCCTTCTCTTTGTGACAGGCATAGAATATAAGTTATTTGGAGAAAAAAAAAACATTAAACTATTTATAAAGTAACTTTCATTAAAAGACATCATACAAAAAAACATAAGGATCTCAGGGATCCAGTGCATACCACTATGATAGATTTGTTTATATATTGTGGTTACTGAATTGTCCCTTCCTAATGCAACATCACTGAATTTTCCACTGACTTTCAGGGCCAATATTTTAGTAAGAGTGAGGGAATTTAAAGGGAAAGAAAAGACAAAACTCTTGCAATGTTTTCAGAAGACATGGTAATGGTCTCTTTGCCATCAAGCATCCTGAAAAGAATGAAACCATTGACACCACCATAGTATCTGCAAAGGCAAGAATTGTTTGGGCAGGGAACATGCAGTCCTTCAGATGTTGCTGGGCTGCAGCTCTCATCTGACCTACTGTGGACAGGAGTTGCCATTCTGTGGAGAAGGACACATAACTCATTGAGATGCCCAGGAGGAATGATAGAATTGCCATTTGCCATCACAGTGACAATAACTTCTGGTATCTGCATGGCAGAGGGAAACAGATGCAAATATTTGAATAACTTCAATATATAAATAAAATAAATCTGGACCCATCAATGAGTCACTGCAGCTGATTTAAAACTATGTAGATAAGTACATGGCTCCACATGGACCATACTCGGGAGAGAGGGCAGGTTACAAATAACGTGTTGTTGTTGCTGCTGTTGTTATAACGTGAAATAAATATTCTATACCACTTCCATGTTGGAATATAAGAGAAACAGATTATTCACAAAGAGTGAACTAAGCCAACTTGTCTCTAATTCAGGTTGATTTCCACACTGATCCTTATGCCAGAGCAGTCCTTACCTGCTTTGTTGATGACCTTCACAAAGTTGGCTTTTTTCTTTGCAGTGAAAGGGTATTTGTCTGTGGTCTGGAGCCAGGCAGGAACTCTAGGAGATATTAATTAAAATATATTATAATTATAGTAAGAGTGGGAAACGGGCTATGTTTACAAACAGTTTGAATCCAGTAAGACTTGAAAAATCTTCACCTTTTTGGTAGGGGCAGAAACATTTTTGCTTGGTCTGTTGAAAGAACATCTCACTTGAGGTGGTGATCTTTTTAGTTCCTTGCCATTTGGGTGGTTCTTTAGTTCCAGGGCACTTGGATGGCTCTTTTCTCCACTGAAATTAGAAAAAGAGAGAAACAAACAGTGGGGACAGAATTATTTTCAAAAACTAGATTTTTTTAAAGAAGACAGTTGGAAAATCAATTGTTTGTCTGTTGCAGAGTTTACTGGTTTGATGATTAGAGATGTTTCTGATGTACTAGAGAATTTTGTAATACTCTTGACACCTTTAAATGTGTTCTCATATGTCCTTACTTGCTCTTTCCAGTGCAACAACACAACAATAAATTCTTCAAATGCGGACTGCATAAAGAATCTATGGCAGAAAATGTTAAAAATGTTTCAGTGCAAGAGTTACAAGATTAAGCAGAGAAATATAAAACTTTCATGAGCTATAACTACCGCTGCAGCCCTTTTTTACTCTGCTTTTATAGAGTATGTGGACAATCATATTACCTATGGGAGAAATCCAAAGACTTCTAAAATTGTGACTTTTAACCCTACACTGACCCAAATGCTTGGCCTTAGAAAAAGATTAAAGGAAATATGCCTATTGCTGTCAGATTCTGGAATCCTAAGGCTTTCTAGTCTGGCAACATCATTGTGTGCCTTCAAATCATTCTCAACTTATAATGACCTTAGTGCTAATTTATCACACAGTTATCTTGGCAAAAAATTGCCCAGTGGGAAAGGTTGCCTTTGCCTTCCTTTAAGGATGAGAATGTGATTTCTCGAAGTTCACCCATTGGGTTTCCATGGCTGATTGGAGATTTGAACCAGAGTCTCCAGTCATTGTCCAATTCTCAAACTGTGACACCACACTAGCTCCAGAAATATCTACTTTATAATCATAATAAATAAGAAGTACATACTGTAACTGACATGATCTTTATGTGTTTGCTTTCTTATTCGGAGATGGTATCTGTTGCCTCTAACTCTTGCAAGGCAGCAAAGTTTTAAATGCTGTCTTTACTTCCAACTGGAGTAGACCCATTGTACCAGTGAAATTTGCTTATTTATTTATTTATTTATTATTTAACAGTTGATTCATTGGGTCTAGAGTCAGATTGGGATTACAGCTTCATCAATACTGTAGAATTAATGTAGTCTGGAATCAGTTTAACTAGAATGGCTCAACGCTATGGAAGCATGAGTTATAGTTTTACAAGGTCTTTAGCCTTCTCTGCCAAAGAGTGTGGTGCCTCACAAAACTACAAACCCCAGGATTCTATAGCATCGAGCAATGGAAGTTAATGTGGTGTCAAATGGCATTAGTTCTACAGTGTAGATACACCCTGTGATTCCTCATAAGATTCAAGCCAAACATCATAAGCCTGGCAACTCAAAATCATGTCCTGTAATTTCTTTGTAGCTCTCCTTAGCCTCCATCACCAGCACTAAATGAATGGAGCAAAGCTGAGTGGTTGTATCTTGACTCAAGTTCACACGGGAGAAATTAAAACACAAACACTGTCTCTGGAAAAGGACTAGGCAATATTTATTTGACTTGTATCTTGCCTTTTTCCAAAACAGGGGCACATAATAGCTCACAACGTGATTGAAAAACAGATACAAACAGGTCCTAAAGGCTGCATGCAGTTTGTGGGCTACAGCTTGCCCACTCTGGACTATAAACAGGCGGGTAGTCAGAGAAGTGTGAATTCTGTCAATTCAGACTCTGACTGATGTCTTCATGTGTCAGAAAACCCACTGTCAATCTTCTGCTAAGGACCTGTGTACCTCCCTCACCCTTACACATTTTCCTTCTTGCTTCTCACCTTGCCAACCATTTTAGAAGCCAGCAAAGAATTTAAGGACAAACATCCACATTTCTGACAACCAGATGGCTTCCTTGTAAGCTAGTATGAACTCCCAGGCCTGAGTCACACCCCATATGCCTCTACCAGAAGCAGTCCCTTCTGACAACAATTACTCATAATATTTATTCTGATTCATTTGAATTGGTTGCATAAAGTGGTATGCATGTGTGGACTCTTCTAGTGGAAACATATCATTGGTGGTGTTCACAAATATCAGCAATGCTGCTGTGACCTGCTGTAAGTATGAAGATAGAGAAAAGAGAGATGGTAGAGATGCGGGGTTTTAAAAGGTACGTGAGACATGAAATACTGGTGTCCCAATAACACTGACTGCTGAGACAGTGAATTAATGATCAAGGGCTTCCATCATTTGTAATCTCCAATGACGGTATCGCTACACAATAATAAAATATATACATCCTGTTAAACAAGACTAATCTCATTAAATTACAACACACACATTTTACAATTTGTATTTATGTCGGGGCTGACACTATTATTGGCTAGAATGAGGCAGTTGCCTTGGGTAGTAGTAGCAATATTGGAGAATACCATTGTATACTGGACACCCCTTGGAAATACTAGAAGATACCTATCACATCACTAGTGTTGAAGAAGCATGCAACATAAATGGGAGAGGATCCATCTTGTTCTTTGCTGTTCTTAGGAAGCAAAATATCATGGGGTGGCTCTGATCAATGTGATTGTTAATGATAGAATGGCAATACAAATTTCAAAAATGCATACAGAGTTACAGCAATTAACAGTTAACAGTCAGGCCCGTAGCCAGGATTTTGATTCGGGGTGGGGGGTGGGGGTGAGTCTGAGTGAAAGAGGGTCTACCCTAGCAAACCTTTTGTATCGTTACCACAACACCCCCATGCATATGAGATATATTGAGCATGGTGATCAGATCATGATATGAATAAACATAACAGTTTAAATAATGAACCAGTAGGAGCCTCCGGTGGCGCAGTGGGTTAAAGCACTGAGCTGCTGAGCTTGTTGATCGAAAGGTCGCAGGTTCGATTCCGGGGAGCGGTCAGCCCTAGCTTCTGCCAACCTAGCAGTTCGAAAACATGCAAATGTGAGTAGATCAATAGGTACTGCTCCAACGGGAAGGTAACAGCGCTCCATGCAGTCATGCTGGCCACATGACCTTGGAGGTGTCTACGGACAACGCTGGCTCTTCGGCTTAGAAATGGAGATGAGCACCACACCCGAGTCAGACATGACTGGACTTAATGTAAGGGGACTACCTTTACCTTTACCTTAAGGCCTTTTCACAGACCACCATGAGAATTTCGGGGGGGGGGGGCTGAAGCCCCCAAAGCCCCCCCCCCCCCCGGCTACATGCCTGTTAACAGCTAACAGCAATTGTGTGGGACCTTCATGTTTGTGAGCAGTAAAGCTGTAAAGACGATGTGGTGGTGCCAAAACTACATAGGAATGTTGCTGTCTTCATGCCCATGGACATCATAAAAAAACCTGTCTAAACTCCATTGTATGGGCGTGAGACTATATTGGAGAGGGCAAATGAGACTCCTCACAGACCACACTAGTGCTCTTGGCATGATTGGAAGTGACATCAGGTAATTTCCAGCTACGTTTTCACCTATTTTCAGCTTAGCTATTTTCAGTGTTTAGGTGTTAGGAACACTGGGATTATTGCAGGGCAGTCCCACTTTATTTTGTGGTGGTTTTGATAAGTTTGTGGCAAAAAGTCACCACAGTAATTTTTTAAAACCATAACAACTCATACCTTGGGAAAGGTTGCAAAACTGTGCTATGAAGTCCATATTGAGTTTGCAGGCCATACATTCCTCACTCGAGTCAAAATGGATCTTGGTCCAGTTGACAAAGGTTTCTGTCCTTAGATTATTTAACTTGACCGGCCCTTTTGGATCTTAAACACATATTGCTTTACATTATTTACTTATTTACTTAGGTGATCCATCATAGTCTGAGTAGGATTGTCTTCCAAGATGGGTGTCCTGGTGGTGGGTCCGTAGGTGACTGTGGAGCCCTATTCTTGATCTGCATCTTCTCCCGCAGTGAGGGCATTGGTTTCCAGGTGGAAGGCAGTCCTGGTTGGGGTTGGCTTGGGTTACATTGTTTAAAATTCTGCACACTACATGTTCTTTCAGTTGCCTTTCTCAGGCCCCTTGTGTTTGGGCTTGCACTGTCATCAGGCAAGGGCTTAAATCCCCTAAAGGCATGAGATCCCATCTGATTTTGGAAGCTCAGCAGGGTCAGCCCTACACAGACAGAAGATCACCAACTACCAGATACTGTAGGCTATATTTCAAGGAAAGAAAGTGACAAAACACAACTGAGTATTCCTTACCTAAGAAAACTATGAAAAGAATGAGGTGGCCACAAGCTGAAAAGGAGACCTGACAGGAGATACAGGAAGAGCAAGAAAACCACTTTCGGTGGTAGATCTTCCAATCGTTCTTCTTGACCATTCCCCTCTATTGTGGCACAAGTGCTATTTGTGTGCCATGCTGCCAGTTCTGCACTCTCTGGACTGGCCGGTTGCCCTGAGACATAGTGGAGGAACTGTCCTATGGTTTAAACACTGATGTAAGATTGACCAGCTAATCTAGTTGACATCTGCCTATGAAAGAAGCACCATATTGTCTTTCAAGTCAGGCAGCCTAATGTTCTAAAATGATTGTTCATTTGGTTCTCTGAATTTAAGGCAGCCATATTCAGGTCTGTAGATATTTTTTATCATGTCAGAAGTTACTTGAGAAACTGCAAGTCGCTTCTGATGTAAGAGAATTGGCCATCTACAGAGACGTTGCTCAGGGGATGCCCAGATGTGTTACCATCCTGTGAGAGGCTTCTCTAATGTCCCTGCATGGGAAGCTAGAGCTGGCAGATGGGAGCTCACCCCATCTCAGGGATTCAAAACGCCAACCTTCAGGTCAGCAGTTCAGCTCACACAAAGGTTTACTCCACTGCACCACTATGGATAGAACCTTCAAGAGTTGGTATGGTGTAGCAGTTTATGTGTTGAAATATAATAATAATAATAATAATAATAATAATAATAATACTTTATTTATACCCCGCCACCATCTCCCCAAGGGGACTCAGGGTGGCTTACATGAAGCCAAGCCCAGCAATACAGTAAAACAATATAACACAAGAACACAGCAGAAAAGAAAAAATAAAATACAAAAACCAATACAAATAAACAGATCAAACAATATAAAATCAGAATATTAGAACACAGAAAATTGATCACAGTGGGCAGGGCCAATTGCAAAGATAATTGAAAACACTGGGTCCAGAGGAGGGCGACTCAAAGGATCAAGGGTCTGGAGAACAAGCCCTATGAGGAGCGGCTTAAGGAGCTGGGCATGTTTAGCCTGAAGAAGAGAAGGCTGAGAGGAGATATGATAGCCATGTATAAATATGTGAGAGGAAGCCACAGGGAGGAGGGAGCAAGCTTGTTTTCTGCTTCCTTGGAGAGTAGGACGCGGAACAATGGCTTCAAACTACAAGAAAGGAGATTCCATCTGAACACGAGGAAGAACTTCCTGACTGTGAGAGCCGTTCAGCAGTGGAACTCTCTGCCCCGGAGTGTGGTGGAGGCTCCTTCTTTGGAAGCTTTTAAACAGAGGCTGGATGGCCATCTGTCAGGGGTGATTTGAATGCAATATTCCTGCTTCTTGGCAGAATGGGGTTGGACTGGATTGCCCATGAGGTCTCTTCCAACTCTTTGATTCTATAATGTATCAAGGACAGGGGATCTGGGGGATAAAGTAGGGAAATATAGCTCTTCAAGACCAGAATTCAAATCCACATTCAACCATTGGGACCCAGTAGGTGACCTTGGGCATGTCACTCTCTCTCATCTTCAGAGGAAGGCAAAGGCAAACCTCATATGTACAAATTTGGCCATGAAAACCCTGATGCAGGCATGTAGCGGGGGGGGGGGGGGTGTTGAGGGGCTTCAGCCCCCCCCCCCCCAAATTCTTATGGTGGTTCGCGAAAAGGCCTTACTGGTGCATTATTTAAACTGTTATGTTTATTCATATCATGATCTGATCACCATACTCAATATATCCCATATGCATGGGGGTATTGGGGTAATGATACAAAAGGTTTGCTAGGCTAGACCCTCTTCCACTCAGACTCAGCCCCCCCCCCCCAAACGAAATCCTGGCTGCGGGCCTGCCCTGATGGGTTCAACTTGACAACCACCAGGACAGATATAACCTTTCCCCTGCCCTGCTTTGAATGGAAGATGTGATGCCAGAAGAACTTCACAAGGAGGAGTGATTTAAATAATAATAATACTAATAGTAATAATAATAATCCAGGATGAAACTGCAGTGGGCACCTGGGTATTTTCACACCAAGACATTCTATTAGTTCAGCAGGATGAATTAGCGGGCTCTCCCATTCTGGAGGCCTTTTCTTCTCTCCCCAAAATGACCCCTATTTAACAAAACAGCGTTTTCTGGCAGGGTGTATATATAATCTCTTCCCCTGTGGCTTGTTCTGCAGTGCAAGCGTGCCATGCCATACCAAATCAGAAATCTTTGGATCATCCCAACGTGTTACACCAGCATGATTGGGTTTGGTTGCCCCAATATTGGTCAATCACACCCAATATGCGGACAGAGGTAGGACGATAAAGACATCCAAATAAAGGATAGGTGACAGATGTCAAACAGGGGTGGCATCCTGGCTCTTTTGATGAACTTCCAAACAGAGCAAGGGCTCCTCTCTCTGCATGGCTGGGCAAGAGAGAGGAGGAGAGGGGCCCAAAGGCGATCCTTACGTTACCGTTCCTTTTCCTTTGTGGATCTCATGGATCGAGGCGCCTTCCTCCAGGCTCCCTCTGCGCAGCAAGGAGGGGTAATCCCGGATGCCCGGTCCCATTATAAGAGGCTTCCTCCTCCTCCTCCTCCTTTGGGGTTTCCCTCCTTTCCTTTGGGCATCGGTTTAAGCGAGATTGCAAAGCAGCTCGACGAAGAAGTGCAGCAGCGGTTCACCTCTCCATCCTAGCGTTGCTGCAGTAAACAAACCCCACGCACGCCTCTCCCCCCCTCCCACGCCTGACTTCGCCTCCTCTGCCGATGGAAGGGCATCAGAAGACCCTGCTGACCACGCAGGAAGGCAGGCAGGCGGGCAGCCCTCCTTCTGGAGCTCGCCCTCGAGGCAGGGCGCATTGTTTATCCTCAGCCGGGCAAAGGCATCCTCGCCACCCCGAGGGACCCTCCTCCCTCTCCAAACCCAGGGCGCGGAGTGGATTGGCCAGCCGCCTCGCCAAGGAGGGCGGGCCCACGACAGCAGCAGCAGCAGCACAGCAGCCACACTGGCCAAGGAATGCAAGCTGTTGTGGCTCCATGCTATGGAATCCTGGGACTTGTCGTTTATCAAAGACCATTCTGAACTCCACCCACGATGGTATTGAACCCAACTTAGCACTCAGAACTCTCATGACCAACAGAAAATACTGGAAGGGGTTTAGTGGGCACTGACGTTGAGTTTTGGAGTTGTAGTTCACCTACATCCAGAGAGCACTGTGGACTCAGACAATGATGGATCAGGACCAAATTTGGCACAAATACTCAATTTGTGAACACTGGTGAAGTTTGGGGAAAATAGATCTTGACATTAGGGAGTTGTAGTTGCTGGGATTGATAGTTCACCTACAATCAAAGAGCATTCTGAACCCCACCAATGGGAGAATTGGACTAAGTTTATTGTAAGTTTTTCCGGGCTATATGGCCATGTTCTAGAGGCATTTTCTCCTGACGTTTCACCTGCATCTATGGCAAGCATCCTCAGAGGTAGTGAGGTCTGTTGGAACTAGGAAAATGGGTTTATATATCTGTGGAATGACCAGGGTGGGACAAAGGACTCTTGTCTGCTGGAGCTAGGTGTGAATGTTTCAACTGACCACCTTGATTAGCATTGCCTGGGAGCAATCTTTTGTTGAGAGGTGATTAGATGTCCCTGATTGTTTTCCCTCTGTTGTTTTGCTGTTGTAATTTTAGAGTTTTTTAATACTGGTAGCCAGATTCCAGCCTAATTTTGTTAGGGGGGGGGGGCTAATTTTTTTCAGGGGGGTTTCGGGGGGGGGGCTGAGTTTCGGGGGGGGGGCTGAGTCTGAGTGAAAGAGGGTCTAGCCTAGCAAACCTTTTGTATCATTACCCCAATACCCCCATGCATATGGGATATATTGAGTATGGTGATCAGATCATGATATGAATAAACATAACAGTTTAAATAATGCACCATTAAGGCCTTTTCGCGAACCACCATGAGAATTTCGGGGGGGGGCTGAAGCCCCCCGAGCCCCCCCCCCCCCCTCGGCTACATGCCTGTTGGTAGCCAGATTTTGTTCATTTGTTCTAAAGATTCCCCCAGGAACTGCCAAGCCATCAAATGCTAATCAAGGTGGTCAGTTGAAACAGCTTCCCATGCAAGGACATGAGAGAAGCCTCCCACCGGATGGTAAAATACCCAGGCATCCCCTAGGCAACGTCCTTTGATATGGCCAATTCTCTCACACCAGAAGCGCAATGTAGTTTCTCAAGTCGCTTCTGACATGGAAAAAAACTTGTTTTGAAGTTGGGTTATATTACATAATATGAAACTGTATGATGTTTCAAACAGCATTATATGGTGTAGATGGGGCCCAAGTTGGCTTCCAGGAGGAAGGCGCGTCAAGCCAACCCCGACCGGGACCACCTTCCACCTGGAAACCAATGTCCTCACTGCGGAAGAAGATGCAGAGCAAGAATAGGGCTCCACAGCCACATACGGACCCACAAGGAAATCCATAATGGAAGACCATCTTACTCGTCCAACGAGGGATCGCCTAAGTAAGGTGTAGATGGGGCCCAAGTTGGCTCTCTTGCAGTATAGGGAAAGGATTTAGAATTCTGAACCAGGGCATAGTGTCTCACCAAACTACAAATCCCAGGATTGTATAGATCAGGCATGGGCAAACTTTTGCCCTACTGGCTGTTACGAATTGTGGGAGTTGAAGTCCAAAACACCTAGAGGTCTGAAGTTTGCCCATGTCTGGTATTTAGATGCAGCCACAATGGCATTGTATTTTTGTAGTGTGAGAGCCAGTATGGTGTAGTTGTTTGAGTGTGGCATTAGGACTTCCTGCTTGACAATGGAAACCCATTGGGTGACCTAAGGCATGTCACACTCTCTCAGTCTCAGAGAGTGGCAAAGGCAAACTGCCTCTGAGCAAGTATCACAAAGAAAAACTCGAATGTGTTTGCCTTAGGGTCACCCATAAGTCAGAAATTACTTGAAGGTACACAACAAGAAAGTGCAAAAAGAATCTGCAAACCCCACCTCCTCCAAGATGAACTGAACCACCTCAACTGGGCTCTACAGGCCAATGGAGTCTCCACCTCAGACATCAGAAGAGCTGCAAGACCGAGAACAAGCCACGAGAGTCAAGACGAAGATCCACCCAGAGGAAAAGTGTTCTTGCCATACATCAAGGGAACCACTGATTGCATAGGGAAGCTGATGAGGAAACACAACATACAAACTATCTACAGACCCACCAAGAAAATCCAACAAATGCTACGTTCAGCAAAGGACAAGAGGGATCCTCTCACCTCTGCAGGAGTCTACCGTATACCATGCAGCTGTGGACAAGTCTACATAGGGACCACCAAACGCAGCATTGCCCAGACACGAATCAAGGAACGTGAAAGGCACTGCAGACTACTTCAACCAGAGAAGTCAGCATAGCAGAGCATGTGATGAACCAGCCTGGACACAGCATATTATTTGAGAACACAGAAATGCTGGACCACTCTCACAACCACCATGTCAGGCTACACAGAGAAGCCATTGAAATCCACAAGCATGTGGACAATTTCAACAGAAAGGAAAAAACCATGAAAATGAACAAAATCTGGCTACCAGTATTTTTTTAAAAAACTCAAATTAAAACAGCAAAACAGCAGAGGGAAAACAATCAGGGACATTTAATCACCTCTCAACAAAAGATTGCTCCAGGCAATGCTAATCAAGGTGGTCAGTTGAAACATTCACACCTAGCTCCAGCAGACAAGTTTTCTTTGCCCCACCCTAGTCTTTCCACAGGTATATAAACCCATTTTCCTAGTTCCAACAGACCTCACTACCTCTGAGAATGCTTGCCATAGATGCAGGCAAAACGTCAGGAGAGAATGCCTCTAGAACATGGCCATATAGCCCGAAAAAACCCACAACAACCCAGTGATTTCAGGCATGAAAGCCTTCGACAACACATTGGACTCTCTCCCCTTCTGCCACATCCATCCACAGCTTGGATTACTTTTCAGAGCTTATTTATTCTGGTCCTCACTGAAATATTTGACAGCCTGCATGACAAATAACTATTTGCGTTACTCGAAAACAAATAATTATTTACATGATTCGTAATGCATATTAATTCCATTACTTGTGTGTGTGTGTTTAAAGGAAAAGGATCTTAAGATTGGTAAGAGAAAGTTCATGTCAACCTGTCCCTTCAACGTTAACTCAAAACTTGGCCACTAACAGAAGATTTTCATTGTTTCTTTTTATTTTTGAAATGCGACTTTGTTGACCGATTGTTATCAAAAATATATAAGCTGATACATGCAACTATTTTACACGTAACTAGTTAATTCCAAGCTCTGCCCATTAGGCTCCTTGTAAAATGAGGTTTGGACACACTTTCATGACCATTTATCCAGTTAAATCAATTCTAACTGGGTTCCGTTTTCTCTCTTTTCTCTTTCCATTCGTGAGTTTCCTTCGCAGCTGCTATTTCTTTCCTCCTGCCTGACTCTCCCTCCTCCCATTCCCTCCTTTTCGTATTTAAATCAAGTTCCCCAGGAAACGGGAAGAAGGAAGGGCAACTCGGACTTCGGGTGAGTCTTGTGCGCATGCGTCTATTACTGGCGCAGACGCAGACCGAACCAAGGCCGGGGAGGATCCCCGGAGGAACCGAGAGGGGGAGGTGGCGACCCGTGACGTCACAGAGGGCTTTCCCCCGCGTCCTCGGCTGGGGAAGGGGCTCTGGAGCGTCACGCGCATGCACCCCTTGCAGCCAGGTGGAGGGAGGAGCCGCAGCAACCCCCGGCGCCTGCATCCCTTCTGCACGCTTCCGGCTGAAAAGGAGGCGTGAAGCCGGAGTCTGCCTCAAGGAGAAGACCCTGCACCCCTCGCTGGGAGCCTTGGAGAGAGTCTGAGCCTTGCTTGCTGCATGTGGGGCCCGGACGCTCCCAACGTGGACTCAGCATCTAGCCATTGCCATAGCTTGGGTCATCCCCATCCATTGTCTTCCTCCACCACTGCTTCCATCAGGAGCTCAGCCCAACCAGATCGCCTCCAGGCTTCTTCCATCCAAGGAGAAGGTCTTCAGACTTCTTCCAGCTTCTTCAACAGCCTCCAGGCTCCCTCCATCCAAGGCAAAGGTTTTCAGGCTCCTTCCAGCTTCCCCAACAACCTCCAGGCTTCTTCGATCCAAGGAGATAGTCTTCAGACTCCTCCCAGCATCTCCAACAGCCTCCAGGCTTCTTCCATCCAAGGAGAAGGTCTTCAGACTCCTTCCAGCTTCTCCAACAGCCTTCAGGCTTCTTCCATCCAAGGAGAAAGTCTTCAGACTCCTCCCAGCATCTCCAATAGCCTCCAGGCTTCTTCCATCCAAGGAGAAGGTCTTCAGACTCCATCCACCTTCTCCAACAGCCTTCAGGCTTCTTCCATCCAAGGAGAAAGTCTTCAGACTCCTCCCAGCATCTCCAACAACCTCCAGGCTTCTTCCATCCAAGGTGAAAGTCTTCAGACACCTCGCAGCATCCCCAACAGCCTCCAGGCTTCTTCCATCCAAGAAGAAGGTCTTCAAACGCCTTCCATCTTCTCAAATAGCCTTCAGGCTTCTTCCATCCAAGGCGAAGGTCTTCAAGCTCCATCGAGCTTCTTCAACAGCTCCCAGCCTTCCCCCATCTTCTCTAATAGCCTTCAGACACCCCACAACTTCTCCAACATTCTCCAGCCTCTTTCCAGCATCTCCAACAGCCTGGACTCCCTCTCTGCCCAATCTAATAGCCTTCAAGTACCTTCCAGCCCTGGCAGTCTTCTGGATTCCTCCAGCATTCAGAGTGACAGTCTGGATTCCCTCAGAGAGCACTGTCAAAGCCTTGCATCCCTTGACGCTCATTGTACCCCCCGCCATCCACTTGACAGCCTGGAATCCGTCTGTCTCCGGCACAGCAACTTCTGCTCCATCTTCAGCCTCGGAGACAGTCTGGAGACATCCAGCATCCAACTGGACAGTCTTCAGTCAGCAAATAATTTGTATGACAGCACCCAAGCTTCCAGCATCCAGTCAGACAGTTTGGACTCTCCCTGCAGTCTCTGTGATAGTCTTGAGACATCTGTTGCTCAACATCGTTGCTCTGGGTCCTACAGTGTCTGACTTGGGTGGGCCGCAAAATTCTCTAGGGCTACCTGTCCCAATACCTTAAACTGCCCTGTGTTGAAACAATTTCTTGGCCTTGCCAACTTGTGCCTCCTATTTCACTGGCCCTGGGTCTTATCTGCCATGTCTCAACGAAAATTGTCCTCAGGAGCAGCAGTGTCTGCTCAACCTGCTTGCCTGTCTGAGCAATTGGCTTTGAGGCCCCCACGAAGGAACCCCAGCTACCTCTCTGGCCTTTATCAGAACATGTTGCAAGAAGAAGCCCAGCGTGAGGAGCAGAAGAGATACCCACCAGTTCACAGCAGCATCAGCCTCCTGAATATTTCAGCCAGTGAAAAGCTGCAAGACAGACATCTGCAGAGCCCTGTGGTTGCAAGCTGTGACCCACACCTTAGGCCCATCATGCGCCGCCGGGCCAGGTCCTTGCCAAGCTCTCCGGAGAGGAGGAGAAGCATGACAGCACCCTGCCGTGTTCCTGGGTGCAACACTGGCAGAAACCGAGTGAGGTTTGCAGATGCATTAGGCTTGGAGCTGGCTGAAGTGAAAGTCTTCCAAGCTGGGGAAGACCCATCCATCCCTCTGCATGTTCTCTCTCGCCTCTCCATCAATTCTGATCTTTGCTGCAGCAGGCTAGACCTGGAGTTCACCATGCAGTGCCTGGTGCCTGATTTCAGGCAACCTGCTGACTGCGAGGAGTTCCTCAGTCGCCTTCAGCAGCAGAAAGTGTGCCTTGAACGAGTGACCAGTTCAGATTTGGGTCTGAATGGCACCATCAGAGTCATCAACCTTGCCTTTGAAAAGCAGGTGGCTGTGCGCTATACCTTTAACCACTGGAGGGGCCAGCATGAAGTTGCTGCTCATTGGCATAGCAGTCTTCCTGGCAAGGATGGGCAGGATCAAGTGGATGTCTTCACCTTCTTCCTCCCTCTTCCCCCTTTCCTCCTCCAGCTCAGCTCTGTGGTTGAGTTTGCAGTGTTCTTCCGAGTCAGTGGGCAGGAGTATTGGGATAATAACCAAGGCAAAAACTATAGCCTCACTTGTAGGAATCACCCACTTAAAATGCCCAGGGAATGTGAGGAGAGCTGGATCCACTTTATTTAAGTAAAAGAAGAAATACAGAAGAGTTACAGCCTTCTTGCTGTTGCTAGTCCTGTGTTGTCCTTTGGCACTTCTCTTCTTCCTGATACACCAAAGAAGGCCTTCAGAGTGGCAACGATCCTTCAGAATGAATTAATATATATATACCAGTGGTCTCCACAAAAAAGAGTTAAGGAAAGATGAGTTTTTTTAAAGAGATAAAGGGCCATAATCTTCAGCACTGATTCATAGCCAAGTATTGACTTAACACCTAGATTTAATCAATATGTATTTTTTTGTATGTGTCTATGTGTTTTATGTATGAAAGCATGTGTAAACAACAGCAGAAAGGACACTATCAGGGAAAACAAGCCAATTTCTGTTGTTTTGATTAATCTTTGTGATAGATGAGACTATATAGAGAGTTTGGATATTTAAAATGTAGTTATTTTTGCAATCATTGAAGCTGTAGATTTGCACTTCAGTCAATGCACTTTTGCACTTTGTTTTTATTTGATATAATTTTTAATAGGTAAAGTACGGGCAGTGTGATTTTGCTCCTTAGCAGGAAAAAACCTCCAGTGCTGCATCATTTTTAGGCAGTGGCAAAATATTGCAGGGCCAGGTTGTAAAAAGTGATGGTGATGAGTATTATAATGGTCTAAGTGGAAATATATTTGCAGACACTGCATTTTATAAAGCAGTGGTTCTCAACCTGTGGGTCCCCAGGTGTTTTGGCCTACAACTTCCAGAAATCCCAGCCAGTTTACCAGCTGTAAGGATTTCTGGGAGTTGAAGGCCAAAACATCTGGGGACCCACAGGTTGAGAACCAGTGTTATAAAGCATACTGGCAGACTAGTGCCCTATTCATGAAGCATTCAGGTCCTCAAAAATGGAAAAATTACATGTGAAACATTTTGTTGCTCAGGGTAGAGCAACTATGCTGTTTACATTTGAAGGAAAAGTTCCTTTCCTTGCTGGTTAAAAGCAAAGCACACTTATAGATGAAAAATAACACACTAGGTTGTTTACCTGAGTAAAATAAAGTTTTGCTCTTTTGTACTGTATTCCATTTGAGGTTATCAGAATAGGTTATGTGAATCACTGTCTCCAGCTGTGTATTACTCACCTAGATTGCTGTAAATTGAAATAAAGGAGTGAGCCTTTTATGCACTGATATAATCACCAAGAGTTGAGGAGCTCATGCTTGATTTCAAAAAAGAAAATATTATCTGAGATGCTTGAGTAAAAGGTGGAAGATATAGGCACTGTTACTAATGAACTATAGCTAAATGGTTTTCTGATGGTAGCTATTTGATTCTTTTGCAGCATAACAACTAAATATCATGTAACCTGTTAAGAACTAATAATTTAAGTTGACATAAGCATAAACATGTTTGTCCTTAAATGAGGTGGGGGAGGAGGACTCTCTTTTGTGGAATGTGTGATTCGAGATATGAATTGTGCTTAAGTTGCAAGAAATCTTGGAATCCAATGCCATCATGTAATTATGAAAATAGGAGAAAGGAGATGATACGCACTTATGAAGATGAATTTATTACTTGGAAGTTCAGTCTTTGATTGGGTTGAAACCCTTGCTTTATCTGTATATATTTTACAAATGGATATATTAGGGATTATTAAGAATGGATTTATATGTACATGTGTTGTGTGTCTATGATTGTTTTTATATATGTGTGCCAAAATTATTTCCTTCCCAGCTTTCATTAAAACACTGATATGCACAAATGAAAATAAGAACTCTTATAACTGATAACTTGTAAAACAATACATGGAATGCAGGGTTCTGCAGGCCTAGAAGTTGCGCTGATACATACATATTAGCTGAAGAATGTATTTGATAAATAGGGTTTCTGTATGATACCTCTTCTCACTCTTCAGATCTGTCTGTCTATCTATCTATCTATCTATCTATCTATCTATCTAAAAGGACTGCTGTGAAGATATGATTCATTGAAAATATAAAGAACTAACATTAATTTAGCTGGCTAAACATAATCAGCTAGAAATTATCAAATTGAATATTAGTGAATTATATTTATATCCAAAATATTTCCTTCTCCTTGTTTTGCAACACATTTTCTCTAAGAAGCTGCTTTATCCTGGTAGCTCAGTAGTGTTTACATGCAGTAGTGTTTAGGTTTTTAGGCAGGATGTTTTTTTCTCCTTTTTCTCCTGTATGCAAACATGCCCTATACCAATGGCTGCACTTCCATGTTAACGTGTTCCTACACAATGTGAGAGTGGTTAAAGCACATAGTTTCAAATTTTCTGTTTTTGTGGAACAGCATTAGGCCTTGAGAAACTTGAAGGCGGCTATATTGCAGCTCAATCCAGCCATTCCTATTCTGTGTCTCATGGCAACTGGATCCCAAGGACCCAGAGTAGTATTCCAGCTATGCATTTGCTAAAGAGGGTTTTTTTGATGAGCTGCCTTCTCAAGGGGCCGTTCTTCAGATTTTGGCAGTCCTTTGAAGTGCCTGGCCAACATATGTGAAAGACAGAGTAATGGAACATCTATTTTCCTTACTGGTGACTAAGCCAAGAATTCTGATTTATTGCTTATCAGTTACATGATAGGGAAGCTCAAAACAGATCTCATGGGGTTTTCTTTATTATTTCAGTAGAAATACTGCAGCCACACATAGTGGGAAGGGTTATAAAACCGTAGAAGTAAAAAATAAGTTCATGCTTGGGAAGAAAATTCCAAATAGGGAGGGAAAAACCTAGAGCAGCATGCACCATGGCCTTGGAAGGGAAAAAGGAAAGGGATGAGAGTGTGAAATGGAGTATCATGAAAAAAAATGCTTAGCTGACTGATCACATACATTCCAACATTGTGTAGCAGGCATCATTTGGACAAATTCAGCCTAGAGTAGACCAATTAACCCCTTTTCATTTATTTGTGTGATGACTGTCGATTGAATGAATCTACTCTAGTTATGTGTAAGCAGCAGGATATTACTCTGTGCGTGCTTTTGTTTGGCCCTTTTTGGGTTTTTAAGACAGCTGAATTATTTTGCAAACTGTTGAAAAGTATTGTAACGATAGTAGGAGGTATATCATGCAGAAACAAAACAGAACTGTGTCTATTTCAATATATACCTATATGCAGATCTATACACCTAAGTTCTAATACGTCTGATTCAAATAGCAGAGTTGCAATGGTCTCATAAATTATTCAAAGAAACATGGAGGATTAAGATAGAAATTATGTAGACATAATTTTCAAGATGCTTTCATGCCAGTGTATCACATAATTTCCAAACATCTCATTTTCTACTTTGATTTTCCAGTATGGCCCTACAGCATGCCAAATGGATGTGGGAGATTATATCTGTTACATAACTGATAGCATTATTTTGGAAATAGCCTCTTTGTCATTTTGATTATTCAATGTGTCTTTAAGAAGAGTGCATTTCCTTGGGTTCCTTACAGCCTAACCTCTCTGTTGGTCCTTGAAAATGCAAATCATGCTGTGGCTACTGGTTGAATGGCTGCTTGATCTGGATCTCCCAATGGCCAATCACTCCCAGGTTGTACTATACCTGTACTATGCCATTTTGTCTTGTGAGCCCCTTATGCTCCTTTGCGCTTTCTTTGTGTTCCTTGTTTTTTCCATAGCAACAGAAAAAAAGAGTGAAAACCATCTTTCCAGTTGTAACTCTGATCTGGTGCTGGAAATAAGAGAATAGGGTTTATCCTTCTGGATCAGACCCAGTTTACTGGCACCCAGTTTATTTGCTGCAACATTATCAAACTTCACATTTCACCATGGAAAACACATTCAAGATAAATGGAAACCATACAAATGGGGGGACTTAACTTCTTGCTGCCTTCATTGCCACTTTTCAATGTACTTTTCACTAAACTGATATTTCTAAATCAGTAATGTATTATTTCTTTGTGATTTCTTTGTTAAGAGATAATTACATATCACTTTGTTAAGAGATAATTACACAGATTGCTTGGGTGTAAAACATGTATGACATAATTTCTGGATCATTTGTATGCTTTATTGTAGAGAATATAGAGGATTTTTTTTCTCCACCATGAAGTGTAAATCAGGAACACAAGAACAAGAAATGATGTATTTATTTAATTACCCTTGGGGTCTATCCACACTTACCTAGGAACAAGCACAATTAAACTTAATGGGACTCATTTCTCAATATCTATTAAGTCTAGGGTATAAATGGCTTATTTGACCAATTTCACATGATTCAAAAAGTGAGCAGGAATTTATATTGGATGGTATCTATATTGTCTTTGGTTGGATAGGCAGCTCACACACACACACACACACACGGCAGCTGCCTATCCAGCAGAAGACAGCACACATTCTTTGCATTTTTCTGATACACAATTTATACTTCAAATGTTTGCTTTTTAAAGGAAGCCAAAATGTGTCAGGAAAAAAATAACACAAATACACTGGAAAATCAGGAAATAGTCCAAAGAAATCCCAGTAGAACGCTGTCTTTATTAGAGGCTGAGCTTCTGCCAAACTGTGACATACATGAACCCCTGGTGTTAGTGGAGGCTTCAGACTGCATTAACACTGCCAGGATAAGCTAAGCCAAGATTCTCTTGAAAGGTTATGTCAAGTATTAGTGGGGAGATTGATAGGAGAAGTCTGGCTTATTTCTGTGGTGAAAAGAATTTGCTCATGGAAAGCCCAGTAATTAGGGCCTCTAATATTCAAATCATATTATCAGTTCCTACAACTAGCGCCACTGAAGAAGCAGAATTTGTAAATCTCTTCTATTAAAACAGTTATTTGGCCGTAGAGATGGCATGAGCAGAATTGTAAGATGATCATTTTGACACCCCCCCCCCCCCCCCCCCCCCCCCCCCCCCCACACACACACAGATACCCTTTGAAAGCATAAGTACATAAGGAATTGGGGTTCTATGTATTCTCCTTTGCCTCTTAAAATGTTTCCTCCTGAAACCAGCAAGATTCCTGCATTTTTAAAAAATAAAAAATTGCACCCATTTAACTTGTCAGTAACTTGTTATCAAGAAACCTTTGTCAATTCAGTACTGTTTCCGGGGAAATCGGTTCTTGTAGATTTGTATTACATTCTCAACTCATGTTAAATTTCGGATTTCAGTTATGGCTTTTGTCACTTGGAAGCACTTTTAAACAATTCTGCATTTTAAAATACAGCCAAATGAATGCCAGTCAGTACATATCATGTAAAAGTATTTGATAAATGTTCACTTAAAGGCAGAAGGTATTGCTGAGAAAAATATCTATGAGATAAAGTTAATCACAGGTTTACATTTTACTGCATTGGAGCAATATCTTTCTTTTCATGACTTGTTGTTCATTCGTTCAGTCGTCTCCGACTCTTCGTGACCTCATGGACCAGCCCACGCCAGAGCTCCCTCTCGGCCGTCACCACCCCCAGCTCCTTCAAGGTCAGTCCAGTCACTTCAAGGATGCCATCCATCCATCTTGCCCTTGGTCGGCCCCTCTTCCTTTTGCCTTCCACTTTCCCCAGCATAATTGTCTTCTCTAGGCTTTCCTGTCTCCTCATGATGTGGCCAAAGTACTTCAACTTTGTCTCTAATATCTTTCCCTCCAGTGAGCAGTCGGGCTTTATTTCCTGGAGGATGGACTGGTTGGATCTTCTCGCAGTCCAAGGCACTCTCAGAACTTTCCTCCAACACCACAGCTCAAAAGCATCGATCTTCCTTCGCTCAGCCTTCCCTAAGGTCCAGCTCTCACATCCGTAGGTGACTACAGGGAATACCATGGCTTGGACTAGGCAATGGATCTTGGTTGCCAGTCTGATGTCTCTACTCTTTACTTTTGTATTGGACATTGCTCTCCTCCCAAGAAATAACTGCCTTCTGATTTCCTGGCCACAGTCTGCATCTGCAGTAATCTTTGCCCCTAGAAATACAAAGTCTGTCACGGCCTCCACGGTTTCTCCCTCTATTTTCCAGTTGTCAATCATTCTTGTTGCCATAATCTTGGTTTTTTTTGACGTTTAGCTGCAACCCGGCTTTTGCGCTTTCTTCTTTCACCTTGATTAGAAGGCTCCTCAGCTCCTCCTCGCTTTCGGCCATCAGAGTGGTGTCATCTGCATATCTGAGGTTGTTAATGTTTTTTCCAGCAATTTTCACCCCAGCTTTGCATTCATCGAGCCCCGCACATCGCATGATGTGTTCTGCATACAAGTTGAATAGGTTGGGTGAGAGTATACAGCCCTGCCGTACGCCTTTCCCAATCTTGACCCACTCTGTTGTTCCATGGTCAGTTCTGACTGTTGCTACTTGGTCCTTGTACAGATTCCTCAGGAGAGAGACAGGTGGCTTGGGATGCCCATCCCACTAAGAACTTGCCACAA